ACCACAAGACCCTATTCTAATTACTAAGACCGGTATACTAGACGTGAGGACATCTTAGGCTCTTAGGGTCTGTGATTTAGGGCTTAGGGGCTTGGGTCGATGGTCTCGGATGTGGGCAAAAACTTGCCGACACTGATTTGCACTTCCCCTAAGGGTTCATGTGCCCGAATAGTATATACTACCCCTGATACTACCCCTGACCTTCCTGAGCTAATACAGGGGCCTTAATAACTAGAATAGAGTTTTGGGGTATATGATACCCCTAAGGGTCCATGTGCCTAAATAGTTATACTTTGGCCTCAAAGTACCTACATAGGGACTACCTTAAGGCCAAAGTATATACTATTTGGGTACATAGACCCGTAGGGTTCCTTCCGGACAGCAGGGGTATCCTTTTCTTTTCTCAAGCCGGGCACTTCTAAGTGTCTGAGGGTTTTACAGCTAGGCCCAACAACCCCCAATCCCGAAACCCTAAAACCGCAAAAACCCTGAAGCCTCACATCTAGAGGGGTTTAGGGTTTAGGGTTTTAGGGCTTGGGGATATAGGGTTCCTATAACAGAAATGCTATACCAGAGACCATGTTGAACCTCGCCCCAGCGCCCCGACGGTAAGTTCGCGACTATGCTTGGAAGGAGCTGTGTTGAAACTTCCTTACAGTAGGTAAGCGCTGTGATTTGGGATGCTTCCTAAACCGTGAAACCTGACCCATGATGCCCTAAGCCCTAAACTCTAAACCCCAAAAACTCCAAACCCTAACGACCCTAAACCCGAAACCCCTAGTCCACAAATCGAACCCTAAACCCTAAACCCCTAAGCCCACAAATCTAACCCTAAACCCCTAAGTCCACAAATCTAACCCTAAACCCTAAACCCCTAAGCCCTTGTCAAAGGGCCCCTCAACCAAAAAAAGGCCCTAAACCCCCTAAAATCTGAACCCCTAAACCCTAAACCCTAAACCCTAAACCCTAAGCCCTAAACCCCCCTAAAATCTGAACCCCGAAAGCACCAGGAGAAGCTCTTGGTGTGGTACTACTGGTTCCAGGCCGGGCCCCCACCGTCGGCAGGGTTTAGGGTTTAGGGTTTAGGGTTTAGGGTTTAGGGTTTAGGGTTTAGGGTTGTTAGAAGCGTCAACGAGCAGATGGCTTTGAGGAAGATCCTGTAGGGCTCACTATAGGCTTGCTTACGGTTGTATCAGGGTTTGCAAGACTTTCTAAGTGCTTTATACCGAGAACCGGGCAGTTCCCTTCCGAAGGATCCAGGTGCGCCGATACTTGGAGTCAGGGCTGGGGTTGAGGGCTTTAGGGTTTCGGGTTTGCAGCGGCATTAACAATTGGAATAGGGTTTTGGGGCCCATTATAGTATAACTGGGGGGGCTTGAGGGCTTAGTGGTATCGGTAGGCTAGCAGGCAGCGAGGTGCATTCTTCTCATGTCTTGGCCCTCATCCCCGAACCTAAACCCTAAACCCTAAACCCTAAAACCCCTAAACACTAAACCCTAAACCCTAAGCCCTAGTTACAGTCTTTTGCAGCAGCAAGATGGTGCTGTATCGCGACCTGCCCAGGCTTCCCAACTCAACGCTTTAGGGTTTAGGGTTCGGGGTTTAAGGTTTAGGGTTTAAGGTTTAGGGTTTAAGGTTTAGGGTTTAGGGTTTAGGGCTGAGTATACTGTTCGGCTGATGGTACTCCTTCGGTTTTCCAGAAGGTCTATTCTGTTTGATGAAAGGTCTACACTGTTTGATGATATGTTGCTCGGTGTACCGGAAACGACTACACGCCCAAATTGAATATGACATCGAAGAACCAGGGTACGTCAGAAGAAATCCCATCTGGGGAGTACATGCAACAACAAGGTTTTTGATAGACTTTTTCTTGTTTTATATTGGGGTGCCGTACCAACCAATCCCCCGGTTGCCTTGAAGGTGATATTCGTGCTCCTTGTCACGGCCATCGGCAACAACTTCATTTCCTTCTGTGAGGCATCGACATGTGAGTCTGATTTCATTAGGGTTCCTTCCATGGCATACAGGGTCAGCAAAAGCACATATAGCCGTGATGTCAAGTTTGTAGAGGTTCGGGAGTTACAGAACAGCGGACTCTTTCGGAATTTCGGAGTGTAGGGTTCAGGGGTTGAGGGTTTTCTTTTGGCTTCGGGGTGGGGGGGGGTCAAATCCCCGTTGCCCACTTTTTGGGCTTCGGGGTTAGGGGAGTGCCCACAACTTAAGTCCGTTTGTTTCGGGTACTAGTCATTGTAGGCGAGTCATTTCGGGAGGTTTTGAGCAAGTGTCATTATGAGGATTCTGGACCTTTGGGGTTTCACAACCCGTAATTGATAGTAAGAAGATCCTTCTAGATCATTCTCATAAGATAGTAAAACCCTAAACCCTAAACTGTAAGCCCTAACCCTAAACCCTAAGGAACATCAGACAAGCTGTGCATGTGGCGTCGTTGAACCATCCATTTATGGCTGAATCAGACATCACTATCCTCGAAGCAACTATGAGTCCTGTCGTTTTATATTGATATGCATCTTTTTGGTTTATCAACAGTAAACCCTAAACCCTGAAAAGACCTAAACCCGGAGTCTTGGAAAGCCCTGGGCCGTACAAGAATGTAGCTACAAGTGCCCTGGATGGGTTCTGTGTTGGAACAGAAACATGCATGTGCTGGCTTCTCGTACCTCTGTCTCTAGGCAACATCTTGTAGAACTAGTCTCGGAAACCCTCAACCGTACATCCTTCAACCCTACATAAACCCAAAACCCCCTAATCCAAACCCCTACACGCTTCTCTCTGTGTCGAAGGCTGTGGCTTCGAACCCCCTGCAGCTTCCGCACATCCTTGCCGCCGAGCTGCCCAAAGCCACGCACTTCTACATGCGCCTGAGCTTCTCAAGACGAGGTCAGGGTAACGCTGTCTTAAACGGTTACTGTGCAACAGGGTGTCGGGGTTGCATACGTGAACGATTCATCTCGGAACGTAAATAACCCTGAAGCCTAGGATTTGAATTCTATAGCCCCTCGACTGAAACCTTACATCTCAGGAACTTCCTAGTGGTCCAGTGGTCCACCCATGTGATCAACCTGCTTCGCTACGTCAACCTGGCGAAATTCCTCGGGTTCAGCGCCCTCTACCCAGAAGAGGAGGCCACTACTCAGTGATTCTGAGATCAAGGGCTTAGGGTTTAGTATAGGGGCCTTAATAACTAGAATAGGGTTTTGGGTATTTTATACTATAGTTGTAATAAGGAACCCCCAAAACCCTATTTCTAATTATTAAGGCCCCTACATTAGGGCTCAGAGGTTAAAAGGGGTAACGGGAGAGAGGCAGGGGTCGACAGGAGCTTTCAAGGAGATGGTTGGTCATACTTAAAGGATCATGGGACTTAGTGACTGAGGTTAGGGTTTAGGGTTTAGAGTTTAGAGTTTAGGGTTTAGGGTTTTAGGGCGTTATAAACAAGGTAACTATACTTATGACCCCAATAAGGGTCCTTGTAACCCTACTTACTAAGTCCCAAGATCCTCCTATATACTTATAGCCTCCAGATTAGGGTACCTACAATCCTACTTACTATGTCCCAAGATCCTCCAAGTAGGGTTTGTAGAGGTTTACATGTGGAGGAGTGCTTCGGGGTGTTTTGTCGCTACGACTGTGGAGCCTCGAGCAGCAGACTGTAACACTGCCCTTCCCCCAAAGATGACAACTAATGTAGGGGCCGAAATAACTACCTATACTATTTTGAGGGTTCCTTATTATAAGTATAGCATAATGGGCGCCAAAACCCTATTCTAATTATGAAGGCCCCTACATTACTTTTTGCTGCACTGACCACTGTCCTCGTGAAATATGTATTGTTGTGCTGACTGCACGGCCAGTAGCAAGTAGTCTTTGGTGGTTCAGCCCAGCAGGGAATCGTCCGAGCTGCGACGAACTGCGGGAAGAACATGCTTCTTTTTTTCCTTAACAAGCTACCATAGCCTACTTTTTTGCAGGGTCCCGGTCAGTTTCGTATATTCGGCTTTATCATAATAACCTATACGAAGGTAGGTTGTCGTGTTTAAGGTATTGTTTAGGGTTTAGTTGGGAATTACCTCCTCCAGCCCCAGAGACTCTGACCTTAGAATCCACAGCCACGTTATGGCCACTTACCCAAAGGGTCCATACATAATACCACTGTGGACTTAGGTCCCAAAAGACCATCTCTACTATGGTTTTGGGGACCTACTTCCATAATAGTCGTAGTGTATATGGACCCTTCTGATTGACTGTGCTTAGCTCGATTGCCAGCTGAGGAATGCCGTAAGTATCTCTGGATTAAGCGCTATGGTCCAACGGCCGAATGTTTAAATACTCCCGAAAATCTGACCTACGTTACGTCTTTATCACACCCAAGCAGCTACTTATTTGATTCTTTGGACCCTGAGGGATACTATAGGGGCCTAAATAAT